CAGCATTACTGCCCTGTGGGTAACCTAGTCTATATAGTATAACAAGTACTGAAATGTTCAGTTCCGTTTCGTATAGTCTAATAAGTCTATAGATGTATTGTTTGATGATAAAATGTCTTAAGTTATAGGATATAGGTTTATTAGCTTTGGAAGTGTGATAGTCCCTATCATGAACGTCGCGAATGTAACTATGTCGATTGCATATGTCTGATACAAACATATTGATTGAGCTATAAATTCTACGCTGTCGGTGGCCAACGCTCGAGCCTCAAATTTTTCTATTTTATCTCCTAGTATATGTTCGTGGCCCTTAAAGATAGACAAACATTTCATGTTTATGTGGCGTTCGGAAATATTCCATAAATTGCTACGATTTGGGATTTTGCGATTGAAAACCGAAATGATTTGTGCGATGTCGGGCTATTTGCCAACCGAGCGCGCTGGCCGCTGTTATTTTGACAGAATATGATACCTCTACACTTTTCAGCCGTAATACATAATGCGCGCATTGTAATCATATACATATCGTTTAATTTAGCTTCAAAAACGTGATAAAAAATCAAAAGTGCTGTATTTTGTTAAATGTGCGCAGCATGTTGTTTCGACACTGTCGCTCACACACGGAAACACTGCAAGGCTGCAAATATGTCACACAATCATCCTCATAGACGCTGACTACGCTCGTTTGTTTTAAACCAACCAAAATAGCTTGCTAGTCTAACGCTGCTACGCAAATATTTTCTGTTCGTTAAATTTGTAGTTTAGCTATATTTTCAGGTCTTTCAGTCTCAGTGTCGTGTTGAAAGCTTCGAACACATGTACTTAGGTCTATTTCTAAATAACGGACCACCAGCCGCATGGATTTCGTATATCGCAAGAAAGCAACTAAACGTTTATATCAAAAGCTTTATTTTAAATAATACAGTACTATTTATCGCTTAAACATCCCCTGCACCGCAATAGTACCTACAGATGACTGATTGTTTATATAATGCTGGTTGCGCCGTACGCGCAAGTTTGATTTTTGTTCTGGCGCCTGGCGGATTGAATTGCAAATGATCCAAATGATCCACAAAAAGCAAATGATCCAAATGATCCACAAAAAGCAAATGATCCAAATGATCCACAAAAAGCAAATGATCCAAATGATCCACAAAAAGCAAATGATCCAAATGATCCACAAAAAGCAAATGATCCAAATGATCTACAAAAAGCAAATGATCCAAATGATCTACAAAAAGCAAATGATCCAAATGATCTACAAAAAGCAAATGATCCAAATGATCTACAAAAAGCAAATGATCCAAATGATCCACAAAAAGCAAATGATCTAAAATGATCCACAAAAAGCAAATGATCCAAATGATCTACAAAAAGGAAACGATCCAAATGCACCAGCCAAAAAGCAAATGATCCGAATGATCTTACAAAAAGGAAACGATCCAAATGCACCAGCCAAAAAGCCTGACGATCCAAAACAAATAGGTAGCTAAAACTAGTATTATTTAAAAAACAAAGAACAAAGTGAAATGATATAATTCCATTATTTACTATTGGTGTGACGTCACTCTTGACTTGTGACGTCACCCGTGACTTGGTATATCGCGCATAAACCAGAAATGACAACATGAGCGGAAAATAATCTGTGCGAAAAATGTTTGCTGCCGTAGGCATGCACATAAGACAATTGGCCGTCTGTCAACATTTGCCACGATGCAGAAAATACTGATAGTTAGAAAATCACGGCTTTACAAATTATTTTATACGACGTTAGTGTTTAGTCGTGGGTTTCTAGATCATGCGGGAAACATAGCTATACAGTACTATATATCGCTTTTGTGGTCGTAATGATTGATGAAATCATGAGTGCACAAAGGTCGCAAAGGGTTATAGCGGTTATGTTTATCAAATGGCATGTGAAGCGGCGCCTTTTGACTGCAGCGATCGAAATTTGATCAGTTATTAACTTCATAATGATCAAAATAGGGTTTATTCGTTAGTATACATCGGCGTATAAAACATATACTCAAACTAAACTTTGCGTTTAATACCGAAGCATACTTACTCTGCGCCATGGCAAATTCCATAATAGGGATAAAACATTGACGTTGGGCTAAAGCAAATTAATTAATTGTGATACGTATGTGCAATGGTAAGTATTTGATTCTGTTACTAAAAATTTGCGAACAAATTATAGAGTCAAAAAATTGACCCTCGACATTTTTTTCGACCCTCGACATTTTTTTCGACCCTCGACATTCTACCCTCGCCCTCGACCTATTACCCTCGACCCTCGACCCTCGACCATTAGTCAAACTCGAAAGTTGCAGGTGCGAGCTTCCTGTAACAACTGACTTGCAATGGCGTCCGATGATCTTTACCTGCATGGACTGCTGCGGTCGGAATGGTTGACGACCAGTCATCCTTAATCACAGGAGGCCCAGGCTCGATTTGCCCGCGCCCGCCTGTGTTATAAGGAAGGCACAGGCGGGCGCGGGCAAATTGAGCCTGGGCTTCCTGTGCCTTAATAGCTATTCTTACCCTTCAGCTCTGCATGTGATAAATCGACATTATCTGCTACATTATCTGTGCCCTTCAGGAGACGTACAATATGAGCTTGTTGCCATGGGCTATAAACCAGAAGTGCTCCGTTCTTTGTGGAGTCACAGATAAAGTATGACCAGATGTGTAACTTCATAGGACACTTGCTAGCAAAATGGCGTCCTGAAAAACACGAACTTTTGCACTTTATCGCGGCCTTTTTTTATCGAAAGGTTTGGATTAAACAATCAATGTTGAATGTTCAAAGTTGTTGAAAGCAATTAAAGTTGTTGAAAAGGTGTTGAAAGCATTTCTGAAAGCAAGACGCATTACCAAATGAGTGTCCCTATATGTCGTATGTCGTGTGTCGTGGGTTAAAAGTCGTGTGTCGTGGGTAAAGTCGTGGGTAAAGTCGTGGGTCATAAAATGTGCTAAAAACGCATTTTTTCATATTTTTATTTTTAATATTTTTTTCGTACTTTTTCCTTTTATGCGCTAGATAAATACAGGAAAATTTAACGCAACAAATCTCCAGTAATAAAACAATTTCTTATCTTGCTGTTATCTATAGTATAACAAGTAAATGTTTCCGTTTCGTATAGTCTTATAATATCTATAAATGTATCTATATCTATAAATGTATTGTTTGATGATAAAATGTCCTAAGTTATAGGATATTAGGATATAGGTTTATTAGCTTTGGAAGTGTTATAGTCCCTATCATGAACGTCGCGAATAACTATGTCGATTGCAATCATTGCATATGTCTGATGCAAACATATTGAGCTTTAAATTCTACGTGGCTAACGCTCGAGCCTCACTGAATTTCGCAATTTTATCTCCTAGACCTAGTATATGTTCGTGGCCCTTAAAAGTAGACAAACATTTCATGTGTATGCAGTGGCGTTCGGAAATATTCCATAAATTGCTACGATTTGGGATTTCGCGATTGAAAACCGAATTAATGATTTGTGCGATGTCGCCATGTCGGGCTATTTGCCAACCGAGCGCGCTAGCCGCTGTTATTTTGACAGAATATGATACCTCTACACTGTTCAGCCGTAATACATAATGCGCGCATTGTAATCATATACATATAGATAGATAGATAGATTTTATTTTGACACGCTAACTACGTCAATAAAAAACATTGATTTCCACGAAGGGCGTGTGTTCAAAAGTTATTATATATAAGTGTTATGACTCTTATGGAATCAAATAAAAGAAAATAGAAATAATCTAACTCTAATCTATATCGTTTAATTTAGCTTCAAAAACTTATTTTGTTAAATGTAAAATGCGCAGCATGTTGCGTACATTAATATCAAAGAAAAAAGGTTGACTTCATTAGACTGAAATAAGCAAGATTTCCCGTTACATACATCATTTATACCGAGGCGGCTTTGCATGTGCTCTGCCTCTGGCAACCATGACACCATTGCGCTCCGCGGGAACCAACACGAATAACATGTTTTTTATCAAGTTTTTGAAGCTAAATTAAACGATATGTATATGATTACAATGCGCGCTGAAAATTACGGCTGAAAAGTGTAGAGGTATCATATTCTGTCGAAATAACAGCGGCTAGCGCGCTCGGTTGGCAATTAGCCCGACAACGCAAAAATCATTTCGGTTTTCAATCGGGAAATCCCAAATCGTAGCAATTTATGGAATATTTCCGGACGCCACATACACATGAAATGTTTGTCTACCTTTAAGGGCCACGAACATATACTAGGTCTAGGAGATAAAATAGCAAAATTTGAGGCTCGAGCGTTAGCCACTAATTATACTAGGCACTGCAGCGTAAATTTTATAGCTCAATATGTTTGTATCAGGCATATGCAATCGACATAGTTATTCGCGACGTTCATGATAGGGACTATAACACTTCCAAAGCTAACTGATAAACCTATATCCTATATAACTTAAGACATTTTATCATCAAACAATACATTTATACTCTATAGGCTTATTAGACTATACGAAACGGAAACAAAATCAAACACTTACTTGTTATACTATAGATAACAGCAAGATAAGAAATTATTTTATTACTGGAGATTTGTTGCGTTAAATTTTCCTGTATTTATCTAATGGAAAAAATGGAAAAAGTACGAAAAAAATATTAAAAATAAAAATAATATCTTCGTGAAAAATGCGTTTTTAGCACATTTTATGACCCACGACTTTACCCACGACTTTACCCACGACTTTACCCACGACACACGACTTTTAACCCACGACACACGACACACGACATATAGGGACACTCGTATGATATATAATATCATATGAAATTGGTCGAAGACCCGTACTCAGGAAATAAAATAACAACATAAAACGCTCACTGAGTTTCCAGCGATATACATACCCTTTTCTAGATATATACCTAATAATAATAAACGAACGAACGAAAGTATTCCTTCCACTCGTGAGCTCATTTACCATTGTCACATATAGTAAATGTCCAGGCCTTGTGACCCTGGATGGGCACTTAAAAGGAAAGAATACACACACACAAAGGTTTATTTATTTTATTCACAAAGCCTGGACATTTACTATATGTGACAATGGTAAATGAGCTCACGAGTGGAAGGAATACTTTCGTTCGTTCGTTTATTATTATTAGGTATATATCTAGAAAAGGGTATGTATATCGCTGGAAACTCAGTGAGCGTTTTATGTTGTTATATAAGATTGTGTTTTAGGTTAATAAAAGGTTCTCCATTCTGGCCTTGATTGCGAGCGCTTGTTGTGTACCAACGCGGCACGTTACAATTTGGTGGCAGCGGTGGGATAATGATCGAAGACGCGCAATAGCCGCAATCAAGGCCATATGGTATTAAGACAAGAGTAAGACAAACCGAGCGGGCAATCCGGCGGAGAATGCAGTCAAACCGTTTGGCGTCGCAAGTTGGACTTTGTTCAGTGGAATAGGTGGACTGAGAGGAGATCCAGATCGTCGATGTTGGTCGAGCGGCGATCTTACCAAGACCAAACAAGCACTGTCCAGAAAACTGAGTGGAAAGTACTAAATAAGTAAACGCCAACCAAAACTGAATTGAACTGTCTGTTGTGTGTGAGTTATGTGTTTCCTTTCCTGTATGCTGTGTAGTTTGACTTTTGAGTTTGAAAATTTCCCGTGTTGTGCTGTGTATGAATCATCAGAAGTAAATCGTCTATCCAGTGTCACATGGCAAGAATATGACATGTTCCTACCAGCTGTGAAGTCCTGGCGTTTTCTGCGTTGGTTCATCACTTCTACAGTTTTATTTGACTTTCGTGTGAACTGATAATTATGTTATATGTATTGTTGCTTCCAAGACATTTTATATCTTTAAATTAGAGAACTTATATTTGTTGCGGGCGTGAACGGTATATATCATAGTAGCTTCGATGGAAGCACAAAAAAAAAATAGAGATGTTAAAGACAGTTATGTTAGCAGAGATAGCGTAAGTCCGGTAGTAACGGCAGACCAACGATAGAGTAGCTGTAGCCTTGTGGTAATTATGATAAGTGAGCACAAGTGATGCCGGAAATAGTCCTGTAGAGTAGGGACAAAGAAAATATTTAAGAAAATATGTGCTCGAAGTGCTAGTTAAGTGATATGGTGTTACCTGGCGATTTATTTTTTTAGTATATTAGGCTTGTCGTTTATGTATATATTCAGTTTTCAGGACGAAAACAATAAGTGAAGGGATATTGTGGCGTTCATATGTGCATGCTGTACCAGGGTGGAAAGTTTGTAGGTTGCGCCGAAGATCTTCGGCGTGGAAAATTCATATTTAATAAATGTGCTCCATTTTGGCGCAGAATTATGGGAAAATGAACTCGTGTGGCGCACTGGCGTACAAAAAATTATTTACTTGTGCACACTACAACCGTATTTCAAATGTTTATAGTATCTGTGCTGTCCTGGCTCTAAAAGTTGCAACTTGGTGGCGTATGTTTAAAACAGGATTTGTGCAGCCACTGGCGCATGTTACTGAACCTTGGTCAAATCTTCGGCGCACAAAAAACAAACTTTCCACCCTGGATTTTGCTGTATTGATGTAAAACTTATATTATAGTAATAGGATTAAGCGGTAGAGACTTTGCTCTTTCCTGACTATCTAGAGTTGTTGATAGGTAAATGACGTAGTTCCTTATTTGCGAGAGTCTCCCACGGAGTGTTGTATGATATATAAGATTGTGTTTTAGGTTAATAAAAGGTTCTCCATTCTGGCCTTGATTGCGAGCGCTTGTTGTGTACCAACGCGGCACGTTACACTTATTAACATAACTGAATATTCGTTCGTTTTCGTCGAGTTGTGCATGTTAACTATTTACACATAGGCTATTACATGTGGAGCCAATCAGAATTCAATTTCTTACGTTTGTAAATTAACATAACTGAATATACGAATTTTACGAAAAATTCGTCCGCCATTAAGTTATTAGAGCCTGCAAAATCCGACCTGCGGTTAAGCGCTGTGACGTCATCTACTCAACACGCTTCTTTCCCGAAGGAGAAATTAATATTATCAAAGGTGATACTAGAAGTTACTATCGCAAGGAAAGTGCTGCCTCACTTCCAAGGAATCAAATAAGGCAGCATGCGCAATGTTTTTATGATCCCACTTTGCCAAGACAAGATGTGAAACAGGATGATTTAGATCTATCTCAATAAGTCATGGTGCACACTGAACAATTATTTCTGAGAGATCGCAACAGTTACCTGTAAACTGAAAGGTTGTTCAAGCAGCAATAATAATCTTCTAGTACTACAAGATCTGCTCTACAACATTTGAGTTCTGTTAAGCAGCATTTGAACGTTTGGCCTATTGACTTATTTCAATACATCAAAATCGTCCCACCTTCCATCATGAAAACAGCCCCGGAGATGCCTGTTCAGGAGGTAGAAAAAGTGCAATTTGAATACCGAACACCTTGCACAAAGTCAAAGGTCAGCTCAATATTCTAATTATACTTTCTTGGCATGGGTGATTTTATACGAAAACCTTCAATGCTTATAACTTCTTGCTTTTGTATGTATAATTATAATACTGTCAGTGGTGAAGCTAGCCTAGCAACAGGTCATGCTACGGTTTTCAATAATTTGCATTACAGGCCTGTTAGCATAGCATGACCAGTAATTTCCATGGCTAGCTTTCCACTCAATACTGCACAATAATGCCATATGTATAAACAATAATAACAATTTCATATATAGAAATAATAAGTCAGTTTTTGTCCCAATGGCACCTTCAAGGCTACGTCTATAGCAGAACTGAACAATCTGCTGATGGGGAGACAAAAACTATTTGCTCACATTTTTCTTTAATACGTCAGCTTCAGATCATCAGATGACACCATTCATTTGTAATGACTATATAATAAGAAAGAAATTATGAGCATTATCAAACACCCTGAAATTATAGTATAGTAAAACCTGAAATTTGGCAACACTGTCACTGTGTGACACAGGATTATATTTATCACTTATTTACTGAGACTGAGGGAAACAGTGTGTTTTGTGGACCCAATTCATATTGGGCTAACAATGAACATATCTCAGGAATATTTTTACAGACTGACTATTATATCTTGTAACTGCATGCTGGTAAGTTAATAATGCACCCTGGGTTGCTATAGGAATATATTTATATTATAATTAAACCTGTTTATTATAAAGACGTGCATATACACAACATCCGCGTTATATACAGTTTGTGATGAATATGCTACATTAATAAATGAAATATATTTAAACTTAAATCCTCTTTGCATTTATTTAATATGTATGACTATGTGTAGGCACAGGTATGGGCTAGTATAGCGTGGTATTATAAAGCTGAGTAGCTGACGTTCAGTCAACAGGGTCACAGGCGTCACACGAACTTTAATAATAATGCAATATATATATAATTCGCTGTGAATTGAGCTTTAAAGGAAAGAAAAAATCGAGCAAATTGACATACCTCTAAAGGATCTCCCTTTCTCACAAAATTTGAATATGATAAGGCCAGTATTTATACAAAAATGTCTTTGCTTCGCTCCTTAATACGACCTTACCTTGTGTTTGTATGCCACAAAGCTAAGCTGCAGTTCCAAATATTTTTTAAACTCCATTCTTGGTACGTCTTTCGCAGACAAATCGCAATCGCAGATCGCTGAACAAAGTATTCGGCAGTCGTCGATTTGCTATCGTAAACTCCTGGGGTATGATAATGCTCCAATGTAAATTCCTTACTGCAACGTCATAATATAACGTCACAACTGCCGACACAAAATCGAGATAAGCATCATTATATAAAACTGTTGGCGGGAAATTCAAATGCGCTATAACACATCGTCAAGAATAGGAGGCTGCCTTCGGCAGCAACTAGGCTGTTTTTTGTTCAAAATTATGTCTTCTGACGAAAGCCACAGCTCCAATTTTGCAACACAATCATCTTGCGAACTCTCTCTTGCCGAAGACGTTTCTTATGATAGCGGGTATGATATAAATATGGAGAAAAGTGTGGATTTGTGCGAGGCCTATGATACCTCAGTCGAACCTCTTGCCACTGGAGAAACATAATACATGAAGAGTACTATAACTGAGAGAGAACAAAAGCAGCAAACACTGTCTGCTAAATTGTCTGGTGAAACCTCAACTGACACCTGGTACGTTTTGTATTGTATTTATTTACGTTTTGGTTATATTTGTGACATAAAACAAACATGTGATGGCCATGTAAAACAAAACAAATGGTTACTGATCTCCTTATAAAATGTTATTGTCACTTCCGTTATTGCACGAAACGTCTCCAATGAGAGATGGCTTAAAGATGACTGTGTTGCCAAATTGGAAATCCTACTCACGTAAGAAAACATTAATTTACACAAAGTTGTGGGAAATATACTTCAATTGTATACTTCAATATATATTAATGGTCCATAGGTGTAAATGTGGCAACTGTGTCCTAGCCTTTGTGGTAAAACCCAATGAATGTCGTTGTTTATGTGAACCTTGTAAGGAAAAAATGCTGGAAGAAAACATGCATGACCGCTGCTTAACTGAGCATCCAGCATTTGATATTGGGTGTTTGAACCATTGGGTGTTAAAACTTGCTGGTTTAAGTTACAAAACCCAAATAAAAGGCTGCCAAAATTATACCACTCTGTATACCAAAGGGAAAGAGTGAACCAGAGTAAGTATTTCAATGTGTATTTCTAGGCAATACCCCCCCCCCACAATGGAAGAGATTTACTTTATGAACGCCCATCCCTCTGGATTTTTCTAACTGTCACTGAAAACTTGCTTCTCCCATCCCTATGGAAATTCTGGACGGTTTTTGCCTACTATCAACTGTGCAAAGTGTGTAAACAGCTGTGCAAAGTTTCATTTCATTTCCTCAAATCCTCTTGGAGATATTCCACTTTAAAGGGTATTGGCAACAAAAAATTTTATTGATTTTATTGCTTCATCTGAAAGAGCATGAAAAAATGCTCTATTCTATCTCATCTGGTTCCGAAGTTATACCCAAAAATGTGCAAAATATAAATTGCTGATTCAGCACATTCTGTGACATCATAAGCTGGGTAAGTATGTTTATTGAATAGTAAACTAAAGCATAGCTGAGTTATTATTGGCTCAAATCAAATGAAATTTTGCATACAGATAGTAAATGATGAGATGCATGGGAAAATACTTCTAATTTCGTTGTCAAGGCAACACAGTCGTTCCCAAGCCTCTTACACTGATTTTCAATAACTAGTTGCATTTATCTATGTGTATGTCATTTTCGAATTATTATCATGCAAGTAAACTTTTGGCATGCATAGGTATCATACACATACTTCTGATATTATTTTATTCTTATCAGTACCTTGAATAAAGCTGTTTCATAAAATTGGCGCAAGGGGCCTGGAAACGACATTGTTACCTTGGCAACAAAATTAGAAGTGTTTTTCCATGCGTCTCATCATGTACAATCAATATGCAAAATTTCATTTGATTTGGGCCCATAATAACTGAGTTATGCTTCAGTGTAGTATTCAATAAACATACTTACCCAGCTAATGACGTCACACGTTGTGCTGAATCAGCAATTTATATTTTCACATTTTTGCGTATAACTTCGGAACTAGATGAGATAGAATAGAGCATTAAACGGCCAATCGGCTTATTTTTTCATGCTCTTTCAGATGAAGCAATAAGATAGATGAAGCAATTTTTGTTGCCAATACCCTTTAAGTTTTTCCTGCAACTTTTAGCACAGCTTATGATGTCATAGCTCAAATTACAAAAACTGTAATAACTCTGGATTGAGATGAGATATGAAACTAGAGATCCAAGGATAGTGTGAAGTTTCAAATTGAAAAAGACACTGCAAAAACTATATAGGGTCCCCGACAACCATCTCATCTCATCTATTGACAGTATTGTTTTTAATGCGTTCGGCACATGAATAGCGAGACTTTTGAAACAACTGGCTAACACATCAAAAAAGGCGTGCCTCGTGGAACTGATATAATTTATTTATTTATTGTGATGCTACCAGGCACTGATTTTCTGGGAGTGCGCCCCCCCCCCCCCAGAAATGATTTGCACCCCCACCAAAGGCATTTGACACCCCCGTAAATTACATATATTTTGATTTGATAGTTTCATATTTAATTATTCTTACTACTAAATTTGTAAAATTACCAATATTATGGTCTCAGATCTCGCCATGCAGGCTAGAAAACAAATTTTGCTAAACTTTTTCCTTGACCTTTCCGGGCGTTGCCACCACGTCCCGACCAAAGCAAGCAGCAGCACCCCCCCAGATATTTATCCACCCCCCTGAACGAAAATCCGTCTCTGGATGCTACACGCGACAACTCGAAATTTAAATTGTTTCACCAACAACCAAATTTGGCATATTCTAAAACTACATTTGCTTTGGCAGCTGTCGCTAAAAGCATCCCCACGAGGCTACTGATATGCTAAACGTATTTAAAACTAGGATTATTCCCATGATCCTTTTAGTGGCCATATTACATTTGACTATTGTCTCAGTGACAACTTTAATTAAAATACCTGTAGCTGTACAGGATTAAATAATGAATAATAAGCACTACCCTAACACTGCCTCGCTCCTTCGTAGCATCGTCACGCCATCGTTGATCTACGGCTTGTTAGCGCATGGGCATTTGCGCTGCTAAAGAAAAATCGGGTGTTCCTGGGAAAAGATCCTTTACATAAGTGAACACAAAAACCAACGAGATGCGAATGTTATAAAATTTGCAATAACGACAACGATTCCTCGAATTTTTTGTGAACTTGGCAAAAGGCCTAAAGAATATTGAAATAAGACAACTGAAATTGCCTAAATAACCTACAAAACACTAAGTACAATAAATCACTACGAACATAAATCGTATGTGTCACCCCCGGAAAGTTTACTGTATGACTGACTGACTGATTGACTGATTCGTTTGAATTTCCCCCCAGTCATCACAATACTGTGAAGTCTTCACACTGAAAACTGTAACTACCATTTTTCATCACTTGAAAGGTACTTTCTAGTAGAGCAGTAAAATTAAGGCAAAAAATTCATGTCATGCACACTTTAATTATTACCAGGTAGGTGGGTGAGAAAAAGAGCTCTCCCTACTCTGGTGATGGATGAGTGGTAGGAAATTATCATCAGCCAGGGGCAGCCAAACTGTTACAATGTCATGATCTGAGTACCATATTCTGAATTTAGTAATGTTTGAATCCCTGTAAAGATGAGCAAGGTAGTGAAATATGTTGGATGTGATCTCATTTACATTAAGTTATATATATATATATATATCAAACAGTTATACTTTTTTTTGCGCCACCCGGTATATATATATATATATATATATATATATATATATATATATATATATATATATATATATATATATATATATATATATATATATATATACATATAGGGTTATCGTTGTAGACCGATGTACAATTATATATATATATATATATATATATATATACCGGGTGGCGCAAAAAAAAGTACAACTGTTTGATTACTTGTAACTCAGAAACAATAAGCAGTAGAACCATAAATCGAGTTTAATTGCATCCAGCGATATCTAACTTAAATTTTGGTATATTTGACAGGCATATTCGTCCAAGATTAACTGAGATATAAGAGTTTAAACTTTTGTTAACAATTTTGAAACGGTCACAAATTAGCTAAAATCAGTTTAATAGGCCGTTTTTAGCTAATTTGTGACCGTTTCAAATTTGCTAACAAAAGTTTAAACACTCATATCTCAGTCAATCTTGGACGAAAATGCCTGTCGAATATACCAAAATTTAAGTTAGACATCGCTGGATGCAATAAAACTCGATTTTGGGTTCTACTGCTTATGGTCTTTGAGCTATATGTAATCAAACAGTTATACTTTTTTTTGCGCCACCCGGTATATATATATATAGATATACTATATATATATATATATATATATATATATATATATATATATATATATATATATATATATATATATATATATATATATATATATATATATACATATAGGGTTATTGTTGTAGACCGATGTACAATTAGGGATAATTAATGTAATTGTTTTAGTTTACTGATCTGCACACATGTCATGGCTAATGTAGTAGTTTGAACGTTTTGTGCCGTCAATAAAATACTTATTTAATCCTTAATATATTGCCTCCATCATGAGTCAAGCGCAAAATGCAACAGGTTATGGACCCAGAAGAGATATTTCTGGGAGATATGGGAGACTTTTGTTCGATGGAGATGAGAGAAAGTACAACCAATGGGAAATTAAATTCCTTGGCTACATGCGATTGCAAAAGTTGAGAGATACAATTGTGGCATCCGACGAAGATAAGGTTAGTGACGATAAGAACGCAGAAGCTTTCGCGGAACTTATTCAGTTTCTTGATGCTCTTATTGATTATGAGAGATGCTGTTGACGATGGGCGAAAAGCATTGAAAATCCTAAGAGGATATTATGCTGCAACTAGTAAGCCAAGAATCATTTCGTTGTATACTGAACTTACATCCTTGGTAAAATCACCGCGTGAAACGGTTACTGACTATGTTATAAGGGCAGAAACTGCAGCGGCAGCCCTCAAAAATGCTGGAGAGAATGTAACTGATAGTCTTTTGATTGCTATGGTTTTGAAAGGTCCACCAGAAACTTTCAAGCCCTTCACTGTAGTAATAACACAAAATGAAAAGAAACAAACATTTAGTGACTTCAAAGCAGCCTTACGAAGTTTTGAGGAGACCGAACGAGCTAGAGCAAGCAATTCTATAGCCTGCGTGCAGGCCCAAGGGAACTGATAGTGGGCCTGCAACCATCACCCCATGTTTTCGATTTTCGCCGGCCGAACCGCCTGCTAAATTCCCATTGGCTAGCTGAGGCGATCGGTAATTAATTAACCTAGCGTGCAGGCCCAAGGGAACAGTGATTCATCACAAAAGCATAGACAAAGGCTCTCGATAAGCTTAAAATTTGAAAATTGATCACTTTTGTCAATTACAAATGGAACAAGAACAGACTGTTTATTGTTTACTTGAAGGAAGAGATGTTTTTGCCGTTATGCCAATGGGGATTGCTTGTCGTGAGGTGTTGGAATAGCAAATTACGACTGGGGTAAACTATAGTAACCTTTACTTGAGTTTCATTAATTTCAAACAGACTTCAGTTGATACGTTATGTGTTCTCACTTCCTCAAGAAAATTATTTTTTGGTTGATGTTGAGATGCAGTTGCATGTAAGGACTGTAAGCCTATTCGAAACACTTTGCGATTTACAAGGCTTCGCTGAGAGAGCGCCGAAACAGAAGGCGATATTAAATTGCCGTTTGAAACGAAACGATCTGGACTCGGAAGGCTCTCTTTGTTTGTAGAGTTCTTTACCAAATGAAATAAATGAAATAAATTTCGTACTTTCCGCCGCCAACAAGAATTGCACACACGATCTGATAAGTGAGACAATTTATTTATAACAATGCCAATGGCGACAGCGAAGCACACATAATATAAATCCTAATGTGGTCGCACGACTTCCCTCATGATTTGAAGTTTGAGACTGGTTTTCTGTTGAAATTCGTCCTAATTTGCCTGTTCCGATTTTAGTTGAAAATGAGCACTTGCAAATTTGGCAATTACTGACTGCGTTGCTTGCTTTTTTGAAGTTAAAACGCAGCCATTTACACATTGTTTATTAGTGTTCTGAATAAGCAGAGAAAACGCCGCAAATTTTAATGCGAGTTTGTTTGTTAATATTTGGGTGCTGTCATTGGTTCTTTTTTGACAATTGACGCGCGAATAGGGCGTATTATGAAAAGGGGCGTTTTACAAAATACCGGGCGACGGTTGCAGGCCCACTATCAGTTCCCTTGGGCCTGCACGCAGGCTAGCAATTCTACTGAGGAAGACTCGATTTTGCAGACAATTAATAGACATAAACAAGATTCATTCGGTATAAAGGACAAAAAATTTGCTATTCTTGTGGCCAACCAGGTGATTTTGCTCGTCAGTGTCCAAATAAAGAGAAACCCAAGAACAAATTGTGGTGTAAAACTTGCCACAGTTCCACTCACAATGATAACACTTGTCGTAAAAATAAAAATAAAGGCAAAAGCGAGAACAATAAAGCTAACAAAGCTTTTCATTTGCCTTCCAGATTAAAGCACAGCAGGGTGTTAGCAAGATAAATGTAGAACCCCCGAGCAAACTTCTGGTCGATTGTGGTGCAACTACCCATATTATTACTGATCGATCAATCCAAGTTTTCCAGCTTTGACCAAACATTCAGACCAGAATCACATTACATTGAACTAGCTGATGGGACTCGATCAAATAATGTTGCACTCAAGAGAGGAAATGTGAACTTGCCTATCACGGATTCTACAGGAAGATGTGTCAATGCCTCATTAAAGAATGCTCTGTACATACCATCGTATCCTCAGGACATATTTTCAGTACAAGCTGCCACTGAGAAAGATGCTAGTGTTATTTTCCATCCACAGTCGGCAGAGCTAATCAGCAAAGATGGTACAAAGTTTAATATTGAGAAGCATGGTAAACTATACTATTTACATGTAGGACCATATAGTGATATAGAAAACTCTGACTCAGTAAATTATACTAGTGATTTAAAGTGCTGGCTGAAATACTTGGTCATTGCATTTATGAAGATGTAGTGAAGCCCCAAGATGTAGTCGATGGCATGAAGGTAAGTGATAGGAGTAGTAAGCCAGATTGTGATACTTGTGTTTTAGGGAAAATGACTCAAAGTACGAATAGAAATCCCGATGTTCGATCTAAAGCCCCTTTAGAGCTTGTGCACACTGATCTTGCTGGTCCAGTTGACCCTATGTCAAAGGAAGGATTTAGATATACTATAGCTTTCACTGATGATTATTCAGGTGCTGTGTTTGTGTATTTTCTTAAAAATAAGAGTGATACTGTCGAGGCCACAAAGAAATTCCTAGCTGATTCAGCCCCATATGGAAATGTTAAACGATTAAGGTCAGATAATGGTGGTAAATTTATTTCCAATAAATTTAAATATCTTCTAAGTGAAAACAAAATAAAACACGAGACCTCAGCACCTTACTCGCCTCACCAGAATGGGACAGCTGAGCGTCATTGGAGGACCCTATTTGAGATGGGTAGATGTATGCTTATTCAGGCAAATCTAGGTAAAGTGCTTTGGCCATATTCAATTATGACAGCTGCATACATCAGGAATAGGTGCTACAATAATCGCCCCAAAGGCAAACACCCTATCTTGCTCTTACTGGTCGAAAGCTAAACTTAGCAAATATGAGAGTGTTTGGCAGTGTATGTTATGCTTATGTGCAGGATAAGCAAAAACTAGACCCCCGGTGCAAACAGGGTATTTTCGTCGGTTTTGATAAGGATAGCCCTGCTTACTTAGTGTACTTTTCAGAAACTGGAAAAGTACTCAAGTACAGAGAAGTGAAATTCACTACAAAGAATGTTAGTGAACAGGAAACCCAAACCGAGGACACATCAAGTGTTGAGTTTAGGATGTCCCAGGTCAATAATGGTCCATGTAATTCCTTGGATGTTCAGAACCCATGCAGGGCCCACCCATGAAGGCCCTTGCCAACAGACCGAGGAGTCTGATGAACCTGATCAGCAGACTGAAGAGTCTGATGAGAGTAAGACAGATATAAATTTACCCCCATCATGTCTTAGTGATTATATTACAAATGTCCGATGTTGATTACTGTTATAAGGTATCAGGTTTTCCAGAAACATATCAGGAAGCTATAGAATCTCCTGATGTAGAGCTTTGGAAAGCTGCAATGAGGGAGGAAATGAATTCTCTAAATGAGAATAACACATTTACTTTAACAGCATTGCCAGAGGGTCGGCAAACAGTGGGCGGTAGATGGGTGTACACCATCAAGGAAAGCCCAAGCATGGCTAAAAGATATAAAGCCAGATATGTGGCAAAAGGTTATAGTCAAATAAAAGATATTGACTATCACGAAACATTTGCTCCAACTGCAAATCTAACAACAATCTGAGCTTTAATGCAAATTGCTGCAAAGCAGGATTAATTTTACATCAAATAGATGTAAAAACTGCGTATCTTAATGCTCGCATTGATTGCGAGATATACATTGAGCAGGTTGAAGGTTTTGAAACCCCTTCCAATTCTGGAGAGAAATTGGTATATAAGTTGAACAAATCTTTGTATGGTTTGAAGCAATCCGGACGGAATTGGAATAGCATGTTGCATAAGTATTTAACCGAAAACAATTTTGTGCAAAGTAATGTTGATCACTGTTTGTATATCAAACACGTTGATGGCAAACTCGTGATCATACTCGTGTGGGTTGATGATTTGATCATTGCTGCGAGAAATGATATCTTAATGTCTGACACAAAGCAAATGTTGAAAGATAAATTCCACATGAAAGACCTAGGGAGGCTTTCATATTTCTTAGGTATTGATTTTAAGCAAGGGGTAGATTATGTTAGAATGAACCAAAGAAAGTATTTGGTAAAGCTACAGGAGAAATTTGAAATGTCTAATTGCAAACCTCGTACTACCCCTGCAGAGCAAAAATTAGAATGCGACGGTGAAAATCTTACTGACCCTAGGAGGTATCGTGAGCTTATTGGTAGTTTGATTTATGCAATGACATGCACTCGACGTGATATATGTTGGATAATAACGACATTATCACAGTATTTGTCGAGACCTCTTAAAGAACATTGGATTGCTGCTAAGCATGTATTGCGATATTTGAAGGGTACTCTTGATTATGAGTTGTGCTACAGGAAGTGTGATGACGATCTTAGGTTGATTGGTTATAGCGATGCTGATTGGGCGTCTTCCACCCACGACAGACGAAGTATTAGTGGGTACTGTTTTAGTTTAACTAAGACTGGGCCTTTGATTTCTTGGAAATCAAAGAAGCAACGTACCGTTGCCCTTTCATCTTGTGAGGCAGAATATATGGCTTTAGCTGCAACAGTACAGGAAGCCTTATACCTAGCGCAATTATTAGATGAGATTATTGAAATTTGTAGTCCAGTTCAGATTTATGAGGACAATCAGGGCACGATTGCTTTATCTAAAGATCCTGTCAATCGTCAGAGATCTAAACATATTGACATCCGATATCATTTTATTCGTTCCACCATAAACGCAGGTAAGGTGATTGTAAATTATTGTCATACTACTGATATGATAGCAGATATAATGACAAAAGCAGCTCCAAGTTGCAAATTACAAAAATTTAAAAACTTTATATTTGGCGTTTAAAGCTTATAAACTCTTAATGAGACCAACGTTTAAATTTGTAAAAGGTTGATTATTATAACAATATACCATTGTTGTATTTAGAGTAAAGTAACTTGAGATCAAGTGGGGGGGGGGTGTTGGATGTGATCTCATTTACATTTAGTTTATATATATATATATATATATATATATATATATATATATATATATATATATATATATATATATATACAGGGTTATCGTTGTAGGCCGATGTACAATTAGGGATAATTAATGTAATTGTTTTAGTTTACTGATCTGCACACATGTCATGGTGAATGTAGTTTGAACGTTTTGTGCCGTCAATAAAATACTTATTTAATCCTTAATATATTGCCTCCATCATGAGTCAAGAGCAAGATGCAACAAAATATCCCATCATGTGAACAGGAAAACTTGAAAGGCCTATAGCTAAGTGACAACACAGTTATAAGTAAGCTAAACAAGGATCTTTCATCATGAATCCTGGTGTTTCTGTGCAGAACACAGCTCACACATGACATACAGTATCGTTTTTGGATTACGGTACTAAATTTTAAAGCTGTCATGTTAATATAAAAATTTTATTTTCGAATGGTTTCTTA